AGACTCGAACCCAGGTAACAGATCCTTTAGGAAACGAAATCAACGATAAAGGTAGCTAATAATGATTACGGGCAACACACTAATACCGACATTTAAAACCTACGCTAGCCATTCCGTTAAACAGTGTTTAGTGGCACCGTAAAGCAACGCTATTCAGCATTTGAGCGAAGGTGCAGTTTTTAACAGCTTAAGTGTCAACCTTCCTTACACCTTCACCAAGGGGTCAATTCTAGCACCTATGTTTTCATGAAGGTAATGTCGGAACATCTATCTCCGTTTCCATGGAGAGTGAGAAATTCTCATCAACCAACCAAGTTATTTTACAAAAACCTCGCAACAAGCAAAAAGTGTAGTCTGTAATTGGCCTTCTACAGAGTGGTGTTAACTTATTAGCTTCGGAAAGAAGAAAAGCGAGCGACCACCCTATCGGCGTTCGAATGCCGAATCTCTCGGCAAGGAGTCCGATCTTCCACCGACTGAGCAACTCCGATCTCAAACAACGTACGGCACACTCGTTGCTGAATGAGATTCATGACTGTGGTTAAGAGAACAGCTGTCCTCATCCAGAAGCGTACCCGGCACCTCCGGAGTTAGGGGCCGAAGGCTCAGGCATTGAACTACTATTTAAATGATGTTTTGACAGCTGGAAAACTATCGCAACAAAGTAGCAGCTTTTGTAAACCTGTAGATAAAAAATCAGTACGGTTTACAAGTGCGAAAACCGAACAATAAATTCAACACGGTCTCAGACTTGCTATATATTGTATGCCGGAACGTAAAAGCACATTATTAAGTTTTCTACAGTACAACACGTTACTTGTAAGATTTCGATCATAATGCTGATCTATAAACAGCTGATCACAAACTAAGCAAATAACGTTTAAGTACAAAAGCTATTGATCTGCTTAACGGCAGCGGAATTAGTAACGCCGTTGAACAATGAAATAAAACATGCTGCACAAACACAGAAAAATAAAAAAATAAAAATGCGTAAGTTCAGAAACGATCAGAAGTGCAGATTCATTTGTAGCAGGAAAACAGCAATTAGTCCAGTAGAATAGCTGCGAGAGTCGGTCTTTCGGTACAGACTGCACTGACTTCTAATCACCCGTAAGATAAGTCAAGCTGAATCGCTATCGTATCACGTATCATGTCGACAACCGAGCTGTCTCTAGCATCAAATGTGTGTAATGTAGGATTCGCAACAGTCTGCCAATCAGCACGGTGGTGGTTCAAAGGAATGACCGGCTGCGATTCAAGCACTACGAAATCTGAAGACGCTGCACCACCCAGTCTTATGGAATATTTAATGAGGATCAGGATGAAAACTGACTGTGAAGTGACAATTAGACAATGACGTGCGTCCAGTCCCGCAAATCGTCAAAGGCCCCGCAGAACCCTGTTCATAATACGACCGGATGACAGACAATCGCCGCTGTTTCATACTAAATATAGTGTTTATATGAAAACTTTTCTGTTTAATTAGCTATGGAAAAAACTGCGGTTTTAGCAGCAGATAAGTCCAAACGGCTTCAGAACAAGGGCTTGTATATCGTACCAGGATCATGCCCTTTTTCCATTTGCGTAAGCAGAATGTCTCCTGGTTGTGACATCCACTTTATATACAGTTTCTCATCACTGTTATTAAAGCGTACCGGCCACTGCATAGCGGGATGAAACATTCTTCTCCGAAAGCAAATCTGAATTGGTTTTTTCCTCTATGTTAAATGTTGTCTTCCAGCTCGACCTCTACTGCGTTTCAGCTCTCAGACAAGAAGCTTGTGAAATGCAGTAAATGATAAATGCTTAACCAGCTTCTATAAGAGGGTCAGTACCTTTTTCTTAAATCTGAAGTTAACTGTGCCCGGAAGAAAATAACTGTTCCTTCTATAGCTCTTTCATTTGAACCTCATTATGCGTAAAATTCAACATTTCTGACCACAGTTCAAACGTTATTCAGAGCTTTTTCGTCTTTTTGCTCCTTCGTTAAAATAATTGTCTCCATCTCGCACAGCAACATTAACCTGAGAGAGGCAAGATACAGATAG